CACCGCTCCAACCCTAACATCTGTGATTTATACATAAAACAAACACAAGCTAAATAATCACATATTAACTAAGCCCATCAGTAGTTTTATAGTCTGAGGTCCAAAATCTGCTTTTCCTCACGTCAAAGGTTTTGTTATCAACATTTATGGGCAAAGCTCCGACTGTTAAAGGTATGTCAATAATGCTAAACACCATATCTGAGAAGGTACAGCACTAGCTTGTTTGGATACAGATATTTTTTTAAATACTACTGCTATAACAAAAAAACAAGCTTGTCTCATGTTCATACCTTTAGGAGAAGGCTCCACATAGTCTAAAACAGCCACCTTCTTTCCAAACTGGGCAGCTTCGAAAGAAAAATGCACACAGGATGAGGAATTTTTAGGGAAGGGAGAAACACATGACACTAATTATCAGCTGGTGCTGTTAATTATCAGCTGGTGCTGTAGCACTGGGGAAAAATACCAGATTGTCCATCTCAAATATAGTTAGCAAGGAAGGTATTCATTCCATCATACTTCCAACAGTTGTTTGGTTTGTTTTTTAACCTCAATAACCTTTGCTTTAGTGTGTAAACAACCAAAGGGCATAATCAAAATTAAAGATAAAGATATCTGCTGAAGTGTATAGCATAAATTCTTACTTCACTGCTGTAGTTTAAAATCCCAGATATCCTTCTTTATATTCTTGCTTCAAGGGTAAGGCAAGGGTGGGGGAGAGGGAGGGAAGCAAATGTGCCCACTTTTTTTCTCCCATCTGTGAGCAGGTTCTTAGGAAATTAATTCATGATTTACCTGTAGGGAGTGAAGTGCATTAGTACACTTCATTACCTACACCCTGAAGGAAGCCAGCAGAGGTAATACTGAGATCACTAAACTTATCCTTTAAAATTAAAGACTTCTAATTTTACAGAATTTAATATCTCTTTACAGATACTAACCTTCTTTTGCGCAGGCAAGACCACCAGAACCACCACCAATCACCAGGAGATCATACTCGTTCTTGCCTAGGAAAGGAACACGGACCAAAGGAGAAGAAACAAGAAAAATGGAAGAGGTACATTAAGTGATGACTTTTTGTTTGTTTGACTACACTATTGTGTTCTGTAGGATAACATCTTATAGTTATACTATACTGACCACCAGACCAAAAATATGCTAGTGTATGAAAACTAGCAAGTGAAACAAACCAAATGAAGCCTGTTTTCAGGAATGAATTGCAGGCAATAAGCAAGGAAGATAAAGCATGAAAAAAGGTAGATTTTACACTGAGAACGCCCCATCTCAAGATAAATCTCAGAGGTTAACAAAAACAGCTATATTTTATCAACAGAAGCATCATAGTTCTTTTATTACAGTTTCCACAGATATATTTTTCAGTGAAAATGGCCCTGCCTAAGCCTTTGGTTGACCAACGTTGTTGCAAAGATACAGGGGGCACTTTTCAATTTAAAATATTTATTTTTTGGTTGGAAGCAAGCAAAGCAAGCAGTTTACTTCACGTCCTCCCATACATTCACAAAAACTGGTTTAAAATTAGATAAATTCACAAAGGCAGAAACAACAGATTTCTATTGACAGTCACCAACAGATTTCCCCAGTCTCATCTTTCAAAGCAGCAACTGCCATCAGTCCACACTCAACTCCACTAGCATCGATGGCAACATGAAGAACACACAAAACCTGCTCCTAGGCTTTCGTCCTATTACACATCTCAGACCCGAGAGTTTTCTTGGTAGGCAGGTAGACTTAGGGTTTACGTGGACACATGGATCTCATGCCCGATGGTAAACGAGGGTTTACATGGACACATGGATCTCCCCCTGCCATATAGCGGCCATGCTTCAGAAGGCGTGAATTATGCTACAGAGTCTGATTGTGGCCTCTGCTGTGTTCCTTAGGCAGGTCCACAAGGAAGCACAGGGATGACCCCAGATACAGATTTCTTCCTAGTCTGGGTGTCCAGATTGTGGAATAAACTCCCCCCAGAGGTGGTGCAATCGCCTACCCTCGAAATCTTCAAGAGGAGACAAGACGGTCACCTCGATGGGGTCATCCGACCCCCAGTTATCTTCCCTGCTTGGTGACGGGGGCCGGACCCGACAACCTCCCCTCCAGCCTCTCAATCTATGAAACGCCCCGAATGACTCGAAGCAGCACCGGATTGGTTTTTGGTTTGTTTTGTTTCTCCCCCAAGGACACCAGCGGGCCAAAGACCTCCTGAACACAACACCAGCCACCATCAGGTGAGCAAAGCCCTACCCAGGGCCTTTCTTGGGGACCTTCTCAAATTCACCCCAAGGGTTTTGGTGAATCTGGCTCTGCCACGAAAGAGGCGGTAAGAACAGAGCTATCTTTCCAAGCGCATTTTGATGGGCAAGCAGAGGGGGAGTCAACGCAGGTCTGTCTGAGCCTCAGTTGCTTGCCTCTGAAATAGGTACAAGAGCCCTGCGCAGCATGTTCAGAGCCAGCCCGTGCACTGAACTTATTGCAAGCCACCGAGCTATTCCCTCCTGACTCCAAAAATGATAGGGCGCCAGGTACAGGTACAGGGTCCCCTCACGCAGGAGCGGGGGTATGCGGGTGCGGGGCACCCCGTACCTGACAAGGCCCGCGCTGTACGGCGGAGCCCGTCCACACGCAGGAGCTGCTTCCGCCCCCGCCAGAGCGCCGCCATGTTGTACGGCACGGAGGCGCCGCCGCGCCAAGGACCCCAGCTCCCGGGGCTGCCTTGCGCAGTGCCTGAGCGGGAATGCACTCCGAGGCGGCAGCTGCGAGGCACCGCTCCCCACCACCCCGGCCGGGAGCAGGCAGCAGCAGCCCAGCGCGCAGGTCGCACTAGGTCAGGGGGCGGGGACCGCGGGGTCACGTGGGAGGGACGAGGAGCAATGGGTTCGATTCCCGGCTCCACCACGTGAGCGCAGCCTGTTTTGCCTGGGCCTCAGTAGCTCGCCTGTAAAATGGGTACACGAGCTCTGCAGGGACGAGTGCTTTACGGAGACTGTCAGGGAACAGCCGCTCCCCTCACAGCTGTCCCATGTTGCACGCTCGCGGGGAGGCAGCAGCAGCTTTTTCTCTTTCAAAACAGTCCTTTTGGCACTGTCAGGATTTGCCCACTGGGCCCATTGGCACCTTCTGGAAATCACCGAAATTGGCCCTGGCCTCACGGCCGTGCTGCTGATCACACAAGGGCGCAGAGCCGGAGCAGCAGAACAGAAACACTGTGGACAACCGGCGTGAGCTCAGAAACACTCTCAAGCCATTGATTGTCTCGACAATCCCATGTCTTCATTTTGAAGTCTGGCCATTCGGGAGGACCGTGCTGTTTTAGGGGGGGAGTGGAGGGCTGCAGCCCACAGCGGAGGGAGGCATCCTTCGACGGAGGCCGCAGAGCCAGTCCTTCAGCTCCCCTCCCAATGGTGCCGGCAGCATTCCCGAGGCAGTAACTCACAGCCACCACGAGCTTCAGGGAGGTTGATGAAATGCTCAACCCCACTTCTCCTCCTGAATCGCACTCCTTGGCCCAGAGAGCACAACACCAGCTATGTGAATGGGTGCAGCCTCCACTTGCACTGAGGTGAGGGCGGGAGTTTGCCCTAAAGGTACTTCTGCTCTAATTCACGGCAGCATAATGGAGAGACACCTGAGCTAGCTGTACCAGAGCTGCAAGCAGGCTTGCTGCAGGTGTGCGCATCCCCGTACACAACAATTTACCCTTCCGAGCAGCAGCGATTTAACAGGGCGTGAGCAGGATCTAATCTGACCTTGCTGTTTTCTCATGTGCAAACCTGGATGAGATTTCATTTGTCTGTGCCTCATGTTACCTACCTGAAAATAAATTTCATAGACATTAGGTCTGGAAGGGACCTCGGAAGATCATCAAGTCCGGCAGGAAGTCAGCTGGGGTCAAAGGATCCCAGCAAAATAAATGTCCAAATGTCTCTTAAAGGAGTCCGGAGTAGGTGCTTGCACCACCTCTGGCAGCAGTCTGTTCCAGGCCTCTGGGGCTCAGACAGTAAAGAAGTTCTTCCTTATGTCCAGCCTGAAGTGAGGAAAAACAGCACCGATTTATCTCACAGAGGTATAATGAGATTTGCAAAGCCTTTTGACTTCCCCTGGTGAAAGACTACAGAAACACAAAGCAGTCATGAGTCCAAATAATGCCAAAGGCAACAAAAACATTTTATTCATTCAAAAATTCTAGCTATTGGCCAGTTCAGTGGTGCAACCAGAGGCTACGTGGCAACAAAGACACTGTAATAATTCAGAAGTTATGTATACTCAACCAAGGTAGATGGATCTGAGTTTGGGACCTACAGCTTTAGCCTTCGCTCCTGTGAGAGCAGTCTGAGAGAGTGAGAGCATGGGAGCATGTGTCCTGAGTCATCGTGTCCCCTTTGGTTGCCCTGAGCATCATTGGTTAGTTCAAAAGGGGGCAGCATCCATCCTGCTGGGCCTGAGCCATCTCAGGCTTGAGATGTAATCAGTCCCATGCAGCACCGAGGAGTTCTTGGGTTGGAGAATGAAGAGGGACAGAGGGGAATTAAAAAGAGGGAAAGGAAGTTGTGAGAATTTGAGGACACCACCAGATGTGGCTAGAAATGTTCAGTTTTGGTTTAAGCTTTTTTTCTCACTATTAATAATTGGTTTGAATACCCTGAATTGAAAACTGGAAACACTTGGAGAAACGATTGAGAAATCGTGTGGCATCCTTACTGTTAAGCGTGTTTTTTTAACATTGTCACATTACTTCCTGTAGCAATAGTTTGTAAGTCACAACAAATATCGTTGCCTGCTTCAGCAATAGCACACTTAGAGAAATATAATTTAAAAGAAAAATGAATTAAAAAGACAGCATCTGAACAGAAATGCCAAAATGTAGAAGTCTTGGTTCAGGGATGATACCTTTTATTAGACCAACTGTTGGTCTAATAAAAGGTATCATCTCTGAACCAAGGGTTCTACATTTTTGCTTTTTTTTTGGACCAACACAGCTACCAGATACATCCCTGAAGCAGCCCTGAACAGAGCATTTCTAGATGCAAAAGCTTGGGGGCATTCCAAAACCAATCATTTATGGTCCGTAGGCAGGGTGGCAGGGCAATGACCATGAACGAAAAGTAAAATGGACTTGAACTGAGCTGTCTTGTATTCCTGCTGTGTCCATCTTTTCAGGAAATAGGTGATATACACAAAGCCCAAGGTCATGGCCAGTCTACCAGAAAGATGGAGCTACTTTTCCTGTGTGGGTTTATCTTAATTGTTGTTTTACAAGCTGAAATGGTGGAGTCCTCTGGGATGCCACAGGTGGGAGCTAGGACATGGCCCTTACCTGAGGGGAAACTTAGAACTTTCTGCCCATTCTTCCTGGTTCCCACAAGCATAAACACGATCAAAGGCCACCGCTGTGTTTCGTAGCACAAGATCAAAGGGCGGATCCAGTCTCTGGCCAAAAAATTCCAGAAGACCAATCAGTACAGTCTATCCCAGATCCACACGTAAGGCCGAGGTGGAAAGGATATGCACTAGCAGTGGAGAGGAGGTGTTGCTGCAGTTACCGTAATCTCCTGATTCAGAAACCAGTGGACGCTGGACACTAGTTAGTGCAATTATTGGTATCAAGTGGTAGCTTTTGAGCTACTGGTTGGGCTACCTGTTTAAGATGGAACGTCAGCTTTCTCTCTCTCTCCTTTTTTTTTTTTTTTACTTCAGCAATCCCTCGCAGTCGAGGGTGATAGTCTTCCATGATTATCTTATCTGTGTGTCCAAAGATGGCTGGTGAAGCCTATTCAGGATCAGCAGACTCTACTGCAGTTCAGATATGTATATTTTTTCACTTACTGGTGGGCTGATTTGACATCCATGTGATTTTTATGACAGTTTAACAAGTATTAGAAAAAACACTACTATCTAATGAAGAAGGGCAGCACGTGTAACGACACCCTAAGATACCACCCTGCCCTGCCTTCTTCCTGACATCAGACTAACATGGCTAACCACCTTTTGAAAACCCTTGCAGAGCCACGCTCAGAAATGTCTTGTGCCGACAGGTTGCGCTGACGTCACATTTGCTCTCCCTTGGAGCTGTCTGCTTGTTACAAAAGACGACTTTCTTTTAGAAATCTGGGCTGCAAACAAACTTCTTAAAAGACAAGCTATTGGATTCAGCTTCATATTTTCTGGGTTTTGCCAGTTGTAGCCAGGCATTTTTTTTTTTTAATTTTGGCCTTAATTTTCAATTTTAGTTGTCACTACATTTATTTGCAAGGGAGATGTTTTTTCAACATATTGTAAATAATACAGTTGGATAGCACACAGGGGCCTGACAATGTAATGTGGCTATGATTTTTTTTTAAATAAACTCAACACATATCTGACACGTGTACTTAAAATCTCTGTGTTTTCTGAGCCAAAAACAATGCTGCCAAGAGACAGACTCTCTTATTTTTGGATTAATCTTAAAGACAATTTTTAAGTTGCTGCCTCTTTGTCATGAAGGATTTTGTTGTGTGTGAGTGAAACATTAACAGTTTTCACACAGAGAGTCAGTTTGAGACATCCCGCATATAATGATTTTGCAACAGTTTAATCATTAACTGAAACTGTTTTGTCTTTCCAATTTTTTTTTTGGCTCTGTTCCCCTTATACTTACATAGCATTTCCTATCTCCACTTGCTGCAAAGAAAAGAGGAGGAATCCGATACTTCTGGGGTGCGAGGAAGGTAGTGTCTGTCCTTTAAACTCATCCCATTATCATTGTTTGGCAGGGGTGGGAGGTGAATTATAGAAGTCCTGCCTTACTGTACAGCCTACGCAGGGTGGTGGAACCGGTTCATGGGTTGAGCTAAACATTCCTCCACAGACAGGAATGACTTCGCAATTATTTTCAGCCTCACTTGTGGTCCCATACATGTCCTTCTCTGTGGTCGACAGCCGTTGTGGAGCCTGATCTAATCTGTGGAGGTGCGGGAGAAAGTGAATCCCCTGAGAATTGCACAAAAGGTGCAAGAACGGTGTAAGTGAAAGGAATGGGGTTGTCTGTGTGGGTGTGGTAGGAGAGGGAGCAGAAAGAGCAGCAGTGTGACGGGCTGGCGACAGCAGGATTGAAGTGACTGGCTCTTTAGCCATCAGTAGACGACATGGATCATAGTCAAACCAGCAGGGCCGGACACAGGCATGGGCAAACTGGGTGGCCACCTGGGGCCTGGATGGAAAGGCGGCCCAAAAATGGTGAAAATAATAATTATTATTATGGTTATCTCTGGTGAAGGGGGGCCCGATACTAAAAGTTCACCCAGGGCCACCAGGAGTCTAGGTACGGTGCTGCAAACCAGATAAGCGTATGGGAAACACCCTAGTCTGAGAGGTTTCCTGATACATAAAGGATATCTACTTACTCCACACAGAGACACAGACATGGAAAAAGCAGTCAAAATGGCTTCTGGTTGTCTGCACGAGGAATTTCAGTTGAAAAGTTGTGGATTAAGAATCCTTGAGTTCTGGTTCTTTTGCTTTGTGGTTTACAGAAATTGTAAATTATATGCAGTTTTTATAGTTGTCCTGCTGTGACATTGGCATGGAAAGAGATCTTTAGTTGAAGCTTGCAGTTTGAAAGAACAGTGAAGTATGTCAATGTTTGTAAGAGCTTAATATGTCTAAGTGGGTAACATTCATAATCATTGTATAGAAATACCAGAGACAGTGATTGATGTTTAAAGCCGCCCACCCCCATGGTGTAAAGACTGTATAGGCCCCGCTGTTTTGTTAAAATCTGGGGGTTTTCCCGCATTGAAAATTTGGGATTATATATGTAAAATATGAAGATGCATCTAAAAGGAACTAAGTTGCGTTTCCAAAACTAAACTAAGTCATAATGTAATTTCACTCTTATTTGTATTCATTTCAAAGAAAAGTCAGCGACACTATATTGTTTAAAATACCTCATCAAGACACGTCATAATTTTCTTTGAAAATAGTTTTCTTCTACTTTGAAATAGCTGCTGACAGTGAAAATTAAAAGAGTTCTATTTAGAAACTTTCCAGCATATTTTATATTTTTTTCAATACTTCAAGTTCCTTATTTTAATAACAAAAACTTTTGCTGGAAATAGGCTCTCTCTGTTGTTTAGAAGATCAGCAGCTTATTCTCTTTATTCCTTCCTGAACTGAATTTTAATTTTTTTTGTTTGTGGCACCTCCTCAATAGCTAATTGATTTCAAGTGAGGAAGAAACAGCAGGAGAAAATGAAATCTAAAGCAAAAAAAAATCTTCATTTTATGTAAATGAGTCAACTTACATAAGAAAGGGAGGGGGGAGATAGAGAAATGTGATGATCTTAAATTGTCTCCATCCAGTCTTTTTCATGAGAAGTCAGCAAACCTTGAAAGCAAGAGGATTTTCACTCTAAAAATAACATTTTAGATGCTGCACAAAAGACAAATTCAATTCTGGGCTGCATCAACAGGAGCATTAGATACAAGGCACAAAAAGTGATAGTGCCTCTTTACCTGGCACTGATTAGGCCTCATCTGGAGTATTGCATGCAGTTTTGGGCTCCACATTTTTTAAATGATGTGGAGAAGTTAGAGGGGGTTCAGAGGTGAGTGACAAAAAATGATAAAGGGCTTGGAAGGCAAAAGGCAGGGTAGATTTGCACCTTGTAGACCAACTAAATCAGAGGTGTATAGGATAGCACTTCAGACTCGCATGCTAACTATGTCTCTGCTCTTGGAAGGCAAGTCATGCGAGGAGAGAAGGAAATAGACATGTTCAGATGGTGGAAAAGGCGATTAAGAAGGAACATGCTAGCAGTCTTCAAATATCTGAAGGGACGCCATAAAGATGAGGGAGTATACCTTTTATCTTGCTGTATAGAGCAGGACAAGAACCAGTGGCTTAAAGTTTTAGCAAAGTCGGTTTAGATTGGTTATCAAGAAGAAACTTCAGTTAGAAGTGAGGCAGTGGAATAGACGGCCTAGGAAGTTGCAGAATCTCCATCACTGGAGGTACTTAAGAGGAGGATTGGTCAGGGATGATTTAGGCATAGCTATGTCTATGCTATGGGTATCTGGGTATTTCCCAAACTTCTGAGCTTTCCTAGTTGCTGCATGGGGCTGGAAAGGAATTTTTTTCTCTCTCCGGTTGCTATACACTAGGGGTGTTTTTTCACCTTCCTCAAAAGCACTGGGTGTTGGCTGCAGTTAAGGCCAGGGATTTTGACTGGGGTTTGCCAGTGCTCCTGCTAGGACTAAAACTGGGAGGTTTCTGGCCAGAGGGTCTTGCCCCTCTGCTCAGGATCAGACTGATTGCTCCATTTGGGGTCAGTAAGGAATTTTACCCATGGGGTCAATTTGGTACAGACTATGACTTTTTTTTTTTGCCTTTCTCTGTAGCAGAGAGTGTGGTCCTCTTTCCTGGATCTCTAGAGCATATTTTAAAAACCCTTGTAGCAACAGGACACTAACAGCCCTCTACTTTACCTGGGGTAGGTTATGATGCTGTGCCTTGTAGCTATGCACGAGGGTTGATTGTAGGGTGGCCACCTTTTCCAAATTGGAAGGCGGGACACATGCTCACCTCTCCCCTCTGAAACCCTCTTCCTGAAGCAGAGCTGAGCAGAGCAGAGCCCATGGGAGGCAGGAGGGGATGCGGGCTGCCTGGTCCAGGCTCAGGGCTCTCCACCCTGCTGCCCTCCCCAAGGAGCCCCACGCTGGCCGCACCATCATGGCAAGGTGCCCTCCGCCCACCCAGCAGGAGCAGGGGGAACAATTCCACGTCGCAGCCACCACTACTGCCAGGTGGGCAGGGCTCGCCTTGCCATTGCTGCGTGGTTGACATGGGGCTTGGAGGGCCAAGACAGCATGGCAGGAAACCCCAAGCCCACCTCCTCTCCTGCCCCACACACAAATCTGGGGGGGCATGTTCCCCCATGGCCCCCTCCCTGGGAATGTGTGCAGCGGCAGGGAGTGGGCCCCATCCTGCTCCCCAGCCAGGCCCTGCAGCCACACATTCCTGCCCTGGGCCCCATGCAGTGCCCTGGCTGGGCAGTGCCCCCAACCCTGCCCCACTCCCTCCTATACCATGGGGGTCTCCATCTGTCCCCCTCCCTGCCATCAGACTTGCCTGCAGGTCTGTGTGTGCATACACATATGCATGTGGCACCCTCTGTGTCCCACTGTCTCCAGCCCCAAGCGGCCCCTTGCAGACTGGAGTCATGCCAACCTGCAAGGGGAAACCTGTGGTTTTTGGAAAACCCAGATCACTGCAGCATACTGGGGAATCTGGGACAAATGCTGTCCCGGAGTCATTCAGCCCAGGACAGGGACTTGTTCTTTAAATTTCAGGGCTGTTCCACCCAGTTAGGAATGGGTGGTCACCCTAGTGATTGCGCAGTTTTAGGAATAGGTTAGGTAAGGATTTGTGTGGGATGGTTTGGATGGGGATGTTCCTGCCTCAGGCAGGGGGTTGGATGAGACTTTCTAGGGGTCCCGTCCAGCCGTACTTCTCTGTGATTTGGACTCTGGTTGGAACGGCAAGCACTGAACAGCCTCACTAACTAGTCTATGCTGCTTTTCAGAGGTGCAAGTGGGCAGCTGCACAGTGCCCAGGGTGGTGCCAGCTGCTACAGTGCCAGTTGCAGTGGCATGTTCAGCTGCCACTGTGGTTGCAGCTATTTTTGGGTACTTTCACAAAGACAGAGCCTGTGGCTATCCCATTTGCCCTTCTTCCCTCCCCCTCTGGCCCCTGAGTTACATTACTGTTGCTTCTCTTGTTCTGTTAAACTTTCGAGTGCAATATTGCTGGGCACCTTTCTTGTCTGTTAACTCTTCCCATCAGATATCATCCACACACCGTCCTAGTTTGTATGAGCTACATTTTTTTTTCAAAATTCTTTATCACATCTTTCTCAGTAAAGGAAATTAATTTGAGTTTGGAAAATAGCAAGCACACATACAGAAAAAAAAAAGAATATTCTGAAAGTAGAAGGCTCAAAAGGAGGAGGGAAGTGCTTCACTCGAGCTGTAGGTGCCTGGTTGTCATTTTTCTCTGTATTTGCTTTGTTTAGGGTTTTAAAAATCAGGCTTTAATCTCTTGTGTTCACTGTTGACTGCCTAACTCATTTTCCAAGACCAAATCTAAACTCAGAAGTTGTATCTCTTTAAGGTTATCCCCAACTTCCTTATTCAGAGGCAGTTACAGTGATATAAAGATTTTTCTGTAGGTTTCTGGGAAAAGAAATTAATTTTGCTCTAAAAGGATAGGTCAGCTTTATATATCAGTCTAGCTTCACGCATCCATGCTAGATACTATATCAATGTAACTACTGGTAAAAAGTACCCCTAAGTATACATCGATACAAAAATATTACACAGAACAGATCTAAGAGCGTCTGTGCAGTCCCTCTTTAGATCAGCTCCTGGGACAGCTATATAGAAAGTGTGCTGCCTTCCAGACGTGCTAAGATTCCCAGAGACAATAAAGAGGGGGAAACAATTCAGTCAGATCCCAGTTGTATCAGAAATGGTTTTTCATTCTTTTCTCCTGCTGTTTAGGTGAGTTGCTATTCAACTGTCCTGCCATAAAAGGAAGAGACTTGACACCCCAGTGTAATATCACACCTGGAGAAACACAGTCCGCAGAATAGTTTTCTAAGTCCAACCTATAAATGTGGTATTTAATACTCTGTAATGCATGGGTAGGTGACTTATGGCCTGTGGGCCAGATTTATGCAGCCTGTGAAGGTAGCAGTGGTGGCTGTGTTGGAGTAGAAGTGGTGACCTGCTTCAGACTGAGCTGTGTTATTTCAGCCTGCTGCTCCCTGTTATAATGCACGGATCTTTTTCCACTCCTTGTCTAGTTCATACTCGTAAGCAATTGGACTAAATAAGTCTCTGGCAGCACTAGGGTATATTGACGTGCAAGGGTCTTGTCACTACCATTTGTCCATTAACTACGGTGTGATAAGCCTGGACTGAAAAAGAGAATTAATTCCTTTGGGCCAGATTCAACCCTGGTGTCACCCCATTGAGTACAGTGGCTTTAAACTGAGGATGAAGTTGGCTCACACCTGACTTTGGCAACAGTCACTGTGCAGCAGCCAATTAACCAGAACAGTGTCACCAGAGGATAGAGCCAAGATAAATAGTGTCTTCTGAGGTCACTCCAGGGCTCAGCACCTTTAAGAAATGGCTGCTGTAATCTGTGTAATGAAGAGTTGGGGAAAAGGATACTGCTCCTTTTAGAAACTGTGTGTAAGAGAGCCCATAAGCTATTCCCGTGATGTGATCAAATGTGACTGAGACGACTGCAGGCTCCTGGACTCTTATTCTATAAAATCTACATCAGAGCAGCACAGGAAAAGATCAGAGGGAACAGCTTCTGCTATATTCAGAAAGGTACATATTTATATTTTCCTATGTCTTGGATCTGACACGCTTTGTTATCGTAGGGTAAGCCACTCTTTCAGATGGTACCGGGCAGAAAGAAGCAGTTTTTGCCTTGTTTTTGACTGGCCCTCACTGTCGTGAAGCTAGTCCGTGGGCAGCTACAGCCTTCATAGAAGAAGAAAAGGACATATTTATGTGTAATGCATTTGTAGCATGCTGTAAACCCAGACAGGTGAAGGAAGCGAGATACAATAGCCCAAAGTTGAGCATGAAATTTATGGATAGCTATGCTAGAATTGAGTACTCATTTGAATTACTTTTCAAGGAAAAGCTGAGCACAAGTCAAGGTTATGTGCAATTATATTTATGATTGTGAGGGGGAGTTTAGTAAATGTGTCTCTGTTGTCGTCTTTTCTGCTTGTTTCCATTCGGAGTAGGGAGCTACACTATGAAGTCCCCATCTTCCCTCTGAACAGGGGGAGCAGCGAGCCAGTACTTTGGTAGCAGGCACTGTTGCTGCTTATGGGATATCTCCCTAGTGCCTCAGCCCCTTAAAGGCACATTTAAAAAACAGCTCCATACTTCCTTGGCAGTGTTACCAGCAACCCCGCCGCATGAAATCTAAAACAAGCTTTAAAACTCCAATTCAAGGTTTCTAGATTTGTGGTTTCTTTTCTGCACCAGCTCGGCTAGGGATCACAATAATAGGCTGCTAAGCTCCAGTTTGGGGCTCTCATGCATTAGCTCAATGCTGTATTGTTTAGCATACAACAGAAAAATCATCTGGTGCATGACTTCAGTTTGCATCTCCAAAAATGTGCTGTCATATTTGGCACAAATGCTACAAGCTGCACATGTGTGAACCGTTCTATATTTTTTATTTCATTTTTCTTCATCAGCCTGATGCTGCAGTTCTAGTTTTACTTGTTTAGCACTGCTCTAGCAGTGTTTGTTACTCTCTACCATCTACTGCTGTTTGTTAATCTTCCAGCAGTATCTGTGGAATTAGAGCTGGCTGGGAATTTTCTTACAAAACTTCCTTTTGGGCAGAACATGCCAATTCATCAAAAATGATCCTTGTTCAGTGGGACCACATCAGTTACAGGGGGAAAAAAATCCCAAAACTTTCTTCAGAAAAGATTCCTCAGGTGTAAAATGTCTAGCTCAGTGATCACCAACCAGTGGATCTCGATCCACCGGTAGACCTCAGAGCTTCTTGGGGTCGATCTGAGGCTGGAGTGGGGTGACCATGTGCGTGCATGCATGCACGCACCCCAGCCCAGCAGGTCAGTCCATGGGGGAAGGAAGGGGCAGGGGCTAGATCAAGGCCCCCGGGGTGAGGGATAGTGCCACAGAGGCAGGAGCAAGGGTAAGTTCAGTGGGGCCCTGGCCGGGTGGTACTTACCTGCTGGGGAGGTGCACCCCCAAATAATTTTTTCTCCTTGTGCCTCAATCTGCCTCCCCTTCCCTCCCCACAGACTTATCTGCTGGGCTGGTGGTGGCACATGATAGATCTTGGGTTACTTCTAAATGCCAAAGATGATCTCCTACTTAGAAAGGTTGAAGACCACTGGTCTAGCTAAAGCAAGAGTTGACTCTGCACCCAAGAATAACCGAGTGTTTAAGGCAAT